ATTTACAGGAAACTTTATCACCCCCGGAGATATAAAAAGTTGTCTCTATTCATCGGTCGACAATCTGAAAACGTTTTCGGGAATCGGAACCATTCCAAGTCAGAACCATTGTGCGGTTGGTCTAGCGTGCCTCACTCCACTGCTCTTTTTCTGGTTGCTTCGGCAAACACACATACATCCACTCACTCACAAACACAGGACTTGTGGACAAGTTCCTGGATGCACGAAAAGTTACTTACCAATACGGTCAAAGGTATAGTTGCAATTTTGGAGTGCTTTCAGACTATATTCATTGTAGTTATATTACATACTACTAAATTCCTCTTTCCTAAATCCCTTTTTGTGGATCTCGTATCTTAATTATCTCGGTCTTCACTTCCTAATCTCCCTATTATCATGTTAGGTAATAAGGTAGCTAGTACACATTACACTGTAACAACCAGGAAAACTTGTAGAGGCATAAACCCCTTGGTTGATAGCGCGTCTAAAATCGCAATATCGTGCGAATGGGTTGTTAAAAAAAAAATAACAAACAGTCAGTCGATAGTACGCCTCTCAGTGTCGATACTTTAGATCATTCAACGCAAACGCCACAGAGGAAGCAAGACACCACTCCTATTTCCTAAAAAGACCAGTAAGCTAGTTAAGAATAGGAGAAAAAGACGTTCGAAGACTTAGTCGACACAGTCCAGCATAAGGATGATTGTTTTGCCTGCTCATTACAAGTCAAAATCAGTGAATTTGCTTCTGAATGCGACTTCAGTAGTAAATGGGTACATTGTCACTGCGACACTACAGTACCTAAAGAGTACTACCGATTCATGCTGAGTCACCCGTGCCCATGGCTATGGTATATTTGCTCTCTGTGTACAGTATCTGAGGCATTTACAAAGCCACAGGTCCCACTCAAATTCATCCCTAAAGTCCAAACGACCAAACCAAAATCGCCTGGCACTAAACCAGTAAAGAAAAGTGACCAAGTCTACCACAACCCTGCCTAACACACCGACAAAACTGCCGGTTGTTATTAATCCCGCCTTTTCAAAGAACAAAATGTCTCGCGAGGTAAACCCCTTCCCATGAAGGTAACTCTTGACTCCGCGCGACTTGCTAAAGAAATCATCCTTTCATCCCAAAGACCATCGGTCAAATTGTCCTCGCTGATTCGCATCAGGCATGACAAGCCGTGGTAGGCTCGAGCGGCAGCCAGAACTGCGCCAGACACGCAAGAGCAGACCCACCATAGTAGTTCACGGTGTACCCGAACTCGCTGACGGTAACCTGGACGAAGCTCACGAGCACGATGTGCAACAGTAGCGATAGCTATTGCGTAGCCTGTTCCTTCACATCACGATGTCTGTCTGCATTTCTTGGTTGCCCTGCCCGTCACGCCTTACGTCTTTCAAGTCACCACGCCGGATGGCTGTGACATTTAGGAACCGGGAAGACCTGACCGAAACACTACAAGCTTGATACAGGAACGATCTGTCTACCCACATCAGGTGGTGCGAAAGCCGACCTAGATCTGTGAGACAACAGCAGGGAGGCTAAATTGAAAGCACAAAAGTGACAGTTAACCTCGGTCAACAACCACTGGCACAAGATACTATTGAACTCACTGCACAGGCAAAAATCCTGCAGAACTGGCCAACCCGGTTAGAATAACTTGTTAGAAAATTCGACAACGGCTGCTGCTGCAAATGTGCACTAGGTGCTGAGACAAACCACAAAGTGCCTCTATAGCCACGTAAGAGAACTAAGAGGTAGGTTTGTTAGAAATCAGGAATTTATGCTCTCAGATGGATCTGAAGATCATAGTCCTAACTGAAACATGGCAATCCCCTGACACTGCAGACGACGAAGTGAGCTTGAAAGGTATTACACTGTTCCGAAGCAATAGGCTACACCATTCAGGAGGCGGAGTGGCCATATATATCAACAGCCATTTAAAAGCCGAGTGCTCCAAATAACTGAGTTGACAGAATCTTGTTGTTTCCACACTAATGGCACAAATTATTTGATTAGAAGGATTTACCGGCCCCCCTCATGTGCTAAGGGCCAGAAAAACAAACTGATTGAGGCATTACTGCAACTGCCACTCCTTGGGTTTGATCAAATACTCTTAGCTGGAAATTTCAATACTCCATCTCTAAATCTTAGTAATCAGAATATAACTCCCACTGGTTGGTTCCAAAGACCACTTGGAGCAGCCATTAGAAGCTCTGGGCTGACTGAGGACGTACGCAGTGCCACTAGATGGACTATAGAGGGAAAGTCCTTAAACCTGGATTATCTGTTAACAAATGACCGGCTCCTCTTTGAGGATGTTCACGTCCGCGCACCATTAGGAAGTAATGACCATGGCACAGTCTTGTGTAACATGGTGATAAACGATACTTTCACACAGGACGAAAACGAGCCTTATCTTTGCTACACTAGGGCAAATTATGCGCTTATGAGAGAGGTTCTGCTACATGCCCCATGGCCACGGGAGTGGTGAAGGTTGACAGTAGATGATCACTTGCAAACATTGAGAGAGATATCATCCAAAATACTGTCGTAGACTATGTACCGTAGTCACACCAAAAACGCGGGAATAGAAGAACTTGGGTTGGGCGCGGCACTGAACGCTTGCAGCAAGCGAAGAGAAAAGCTTATCACAAGTGGAAGGTCTCCTTGAACGATTCCGATGGCATTTTTTTACTTGGAATTGAGAAACAGATGCAATATCAAACTTCGAAGTGACAGGAGACAATTCCAGACGAAGCTAGCCGCCAGAATAGCGGTAAACCCGAAACATCTGTTTCGGTTCATGTTCAAATCTAATCAAATCTAATCTAATCAAGGGTTGTGTTCTCTGAAAGGACCAAACGAGGAAGACCTCACCGACATAGAGATGGCCGAGATCTTCGACACCAACATTTCTGATCAGTTAAACCAGGCGCCCATATGTTCAGAGTACTACGCCAACCCATTGTATCGCTCCTGACTTAGTACTAAGGAAACTAAAATACTTACGCCCAGGTAAGCCACCAGGTTGTGAAAAAATTCCCCCCATAGTCTTGAAAAAATGTGGAGAGGTCCTCTGTTCACCGATGTGTGACCTATTCAGGCACTCACTGGAGTCACACCAATTCCCAGCTGAATGGAAACAAGCTACTCTCTCTCTCCAATCTTCAAAGGAGGAAATAGAAGACCCAGACTGTTACAGACCAGTCGCACTACTACCTATATTATCAAAAGTTATTGAAGGGCTGGTGGACGAACAAATGAGGGAGTACATGGATAAGAATAAAATACTCCATGATACTCAACACGGGTTTCGGAAAGGCAGGTCGTGTGCATCTAATCTTCTCATCGTACTGGACAGTTGGACATCCTGTTTGGACCGTAAAATACCGCTGCACGTAATATTTCTCAACTTTGCAAAAGCCTTTGTCACAGTACCCCATGCACGCCTAATCGAAAATGTTGTGTAAACGGGCTTCGCTGACCAAATCCTATCTTGTCTCAGAAACTACCTTGAGAATAGAAAGTTTCGCACCAAAGTATACAGAGTGCACGTGAGCTGGCACATATCCACAGGGGAACATCGTCGGCCGACTTCTCTTCTTGATAGTAATTAACGAACTGTTAGGCTTAGTTAGCTCACCAGCACTGAACTACGCAGACGATGCGAAGATCCAGAGGTCCATTAGTAGTGAAGAGGATTCGACTGAGCTTTTAAAAGGACCTTACATCTATTGAGAAATTGGCAGTGGAAAACGGTGTAAACCTCAACCAATCGAAGTTTCACGTTATGCATATTCTGCCTCACACGACGCAAATGATCTACATCATCAATGGAAGTCCGCTCCCTAATGTCTCTTCAAAGCGCGATCTCGATTTAGTAACCACAGAAAGCCTCCACACGAGTCCGAACTAGATAGAGGATGCAGCCAAGGCAAATGCGACTCGTCACTTTATGCGAAGACAACTTCGTGCTATCACCTCACACTTATTCTCAACACTATTTAAGACGTATGCACGCCCACACCTAGAGTTGTATAACGTTATTTCACCCCCTCTGCTAAAAAGAGACATAAACCTCTTGGATCTAGTGCAGGGACGAGCGACCGAGTGGGTGATGGGTTGAAAAATAAACCTTACAACGATAGACTTCTGCTGTTGGGATTATTTCCACTGAGTTACAGGAGAATCAGAGGTGATCTGATTATGGTGTACACCACATTAAGCACGCCAAACCATCCCAACGTGCGCATTTTACCGATGCATCACCACCACTCCGAGGCAATCCTCTAAAGATTGCACATCAAAGAGCGAATACTCAAATTCATGCACACTCCTTCTCATTGTCAGTCGTCGCAGCTTGGAATGCCCTCCCAGCCGAGGTGACCACAGCCCTATCAGTGGACAGCATTACGAAGAGGCTTCATAATCATATACTAACATACTTATTATCATCTGCCTTTTGGACAAGCTGTGCATTATGCATATCTTGAGACCTGCTAGTTGTTATCATTGCCATCTCCTTAGATCAATCAATTATTCTATCTCGCCCGTCATCTCTGTTTCCTCTTCCTTGCTTACACCTCGGTCCTCTCTCAAAATCTTCACTACCAATTATTAAACTATACTATCAATATATTAGTTCTGAAATCTTATTCATATCATCATTTCAGTTTTATCCTTATTACCCTTATTACTCTTTAAATTGCAACTATCTGATCTCCTGTCTGGTTATTTGATGGCTGCCAGTATCCAGAAACCCCGACTGCCCTGAAACAAACGTTTTCATTCAAATCCCGAGACATACAAACTCACAACCAACTACCAACTGACTAGAATTAGACAGTTGAGTGGCTAGACCTCCATCCATTGGAAACCACCGAACACGTGAAACCGTACTGAAAGAACAAGAATCGAGCGAAAAGAAATCAACTGGTTTACACTAGCTCGTGAAAAAGGTATTGGATATTGTACAATCTTGACTTTCAGAACGGCGCAATCTCTGAATAGTCGGTTACGCTGTTTGTGTATATCAATCCTGCAAAGGTGATGATATCATCATCAGAGAATCTGTAAACCCTAGAAGTTAGTTGTGCTTTGTGTAATTTGTCTCTTTGAACTATGAAGTTATTATTGGTAACATAAAGCGCGTGTATATTTGTTACATAATTATATTTTATCACTTAGGTTTCCTGTCCTCTATCAATGATAAAACTTTTCCTTTACATTTTGATAATATTTTCATATCTCGCTCTATATACGGACTAACATTACACAGTTCCTGTATATCTAGAAGTACTCCCAAATTTTGTTGTCGGTGTAACTTGATGATGACAGTTAGCTATAAAGATGAACTTGAATATGCTCTAGGATGTCAGTGAGGCAAAAACGTATGAAATTTTTTATTTTGGGTCGGGGTCTCTGTTAATAATATGCAGAACTACACACGGTCGCAATGAGATAAAATGCAACAGAAAACCTGAAGGCAGAATTATATTTTAGATAATTTCAACTGATAAATCCATTGGAGCATACCAAATTACTAACTCAAAAATTATAACTCTGTTTCATTAATCACCCAATATTCGATCAAATAGTAAGGACGGTGAAATTCCTAATGTTCTTGAATCCGTTTGGTAATCAAGAATGTAGTTTACACATGAGATTCTCCATTCTTGTGAGCTGGCAAAATCATATTTTGAACCCTATTAGTTCCATGCTCAGCATCATTTGAGAATGTTTGTGAATGATCTCTGTATATGCTGCTTCGATGCAGCTTGAGTGTCTAAATCTTTAATATTTCAGATTCAGAGACCTGTACATTACGTCCTCTACTGAACCCTTGAGCCTTCACTGCACATACGTGTTAATAAACATGATCTCTGACTTCGGGTTTTTTTCAGAAATCGTTGCACTAATCACTCGAAACAAAGCAGTTTCTTTCATATGGTTAATCCCCCGAAGGAATGTTACATAGTTCTGACTATTTCGTCCGCGTTATTTCTTATTACCTGAGACTAGTTGATGTCATTTTGTTGTCAGCTATCATATGAATACCTTTGACTTGTCGTTCTTCACAATAACCAGTCAAACAAAATTTCGTGTATCGTTTAGTTGATGTAAAAACTATGAACGAGCGACAGTAGATTTATTTGCTAGGCCTCACAAATTAGAAGCTAACCGCGATTAATAATGTTGATTGCAGTAATGAATTATCTTCCGGCAACATTTAAAAACAAAATTATGATTCTTTAGTAAGTATGTGATATAAATGGCAAAAACAAGGCCTAACTGCCAACTCGGAGTTCTTTTGGAGATTGATTGACGTATAAAACCCTCCTTCAAGTAAGTTAAAAGATACTTGTTTGCATATAAGCATGTTATGTTAAACAAGTTAAACCTGTTCTGTTGGTCGGTTCATTTGTTTTTAATTGCAGTTTATTTTAGTGGTACTCACCGACAATACGGCCTTGTAAGTCGTTACCACATACATTGTGTTATTGGACATTATCTGTCGATCAGAACTGCAACGAATATATTTTCGTTATGCTTAAGGGTGCCTATCATTCACCTAACTGGATTATTATCCACCTTAACAGCATAAGCTTTCGTGAATGTGTAAAACGCATCGCCTATATTTTTTACATATTTCCACCTGTCTAATCTCAATTACTGATTGCTTCGGTCTTCAAGAAAGGACAAAAACCATCTTGTGGCAACCACATGGGAATTAGTTTGATTAATATAGTGTCTGAAACACCAGCCTATAACCATCTAAAGCTTAACGAGGGCTCATGAAGTGCAAGCTTGCGGGAAACCAGGTTGGTATCGACCACAGGCGTGGATATGTAGACAAAATATTGCCTAACCAAGACATTAAATCTGCCTATGAATTCGTTGACTGTTTGACTGAGCCATTCAGGTAGGTACAAACTGGCTGTTTCGTTTACGTCGCCACACCTTATTAGCACAGAAAGATAAGACTGTCAGGACAACTCCAGTTTTAACAGTATTATCGATAATAGGAAAGACTAGACTCGAGATACAACTCGAGAAAATATGGACTAGTGGAATGAAATGTAAGAATACTGTAAAGTGATTTAGAAAGACAGGAACTAAGATAAAAAATAAATATGACCGTTCCATTGCCAGTGACCTATGTTACCTAAAAACTAACCATTACAACGATCGCAAGAACCTCATTGTGCATGTATACAAGGTTGTACGTTGCATATGACTGACTGACTCTTTATTAACTGTTCATTTCAGGAGATACCATGCAGACCGTATTTATGGTCGCTGAAAAGCCGTCATTAGCTGAATCAATAGCAAAATCGTTATCTAATAAGCGTAATTCAAGTCGTCGTGGATTCAATGGAGCATGTTCCGTTCATGAATGGACTGGTCAGTTTATGAGTGAACAAGTTCGCTTCAAAATGACGTCAGTGTGTGGCCATGTAATGAATGTTGATTTCTTAAGCCGTTATAATAGTTGGGACAAAGTTGATCCCGTAAGTTGGTTTTTTTTTGGTCTAAAAATGTTAGGCTGAGTTATTTGTTGCACCAATCGAGAAAAAAGAAGCTAACCCAAAATTGAAAATGGTGGATTTTCTTCGCCACGAGGTTTTTTATTTCTGTGACAGTATTATTGTTTAGGCGCAAAATGCTGGAATATTAATTCTTTGGCTTGATTGCGACAAAGAGGGCGAAAATATTTGCTTTGAAGTTATCAATTGTGTTCATTCAGTCATGGTACATCCTGTAAGTTGCTTATATATCATATTTACCTACCTCCTAGTGTATCATCACTTTTTGTTTGTAACTACTGGGAATTTTTATACAATCAGTTATAAACTTAAACAAAGCAAAAGCGATAACTTTTGAAGTATACGACGAAGTCAATGTATTTCATTGTTCTTTTTTTCAGATAGCTACATACAAGTTATTAAGTTTAATTACTTCCAATTATTAACATAATTTTAAGCGGTAGCTTATCAATCAATCACGAATAAGTTGTGTGTAGTTTGATTGGGTTCAAAAATTAAGGCCTTAAAAAGAAGCCGTATCATGATTTTCTTAACTGATAGTTTCCGATGTAATCGTAATGTACAGAAAGTCAGACTTGCACTCTTTCATTAGCATACTCTAAGAAATCTACCCGCTCTTAGGAGACAACTGTCTACATAGTAAAATAGTACCCCACCTACTAGACGCAAGGTACAATGTAAATTCTCTGACTTCGTTCAAGGTTATCAATAAACAACCCGATTTCCTTTTGTTAAAATCGACAGGATTCTTAGAAGTTAGAAGCCTTAAACCTGACCTTTGTACATAAGGGGATTCATTAATCCTCGTTTACTTTATGAGATCTTAGCCACTTCTGTTATATTGCGTAAGAAAATTGTTTCCATGTTTGAGAACTATGAACCCTTTTAGGATTTTACTGCCTAGCCTCTTTCAAATTACACAAAACCTCGACCATGAAGCAGTATTCGACTCTGTCGATCGTGAGGTTCTAGGTTAGAGTCTGTCATTAAAAAGTATACCAGAGAAGTACGGGAACCTTGTACAAGCTCTCTACTCGAACACTACTGGTTGAGTCAGAGCTTATGGCGAACTGTCATCTGAATCCATTATTTCAGGTGGTGTCCGTAAAGGCTGTCCACTTTCTCTGTTCCGATGCTTTTAGAGGCAACACTTTTATCACATGACTTTTCAAGAGTTGATCGTGTACCAGGAAACTCGCTTGTTGGTGTAAAATATGCCGATAAAATCGTTCTATATGGTGATGACGCTGATGAAATACAGTCTTCTGATCACCTTAAGCAACTACGCAAGCACATTTGGGATACGGATTTCCCCCTCGAAATGCAAAATGTTGCTTCAAGATTGGCTTGCGACGGCACCGGAACCAGTGATAGGGAGTAAAATAGTTGAGCATGTTGACCACTTTACTTGTCTCAGGAGTCTCATCAGTGCTGATGGCCTGGTGTGTGACAAAATCTTAGCACGGGCAGAAAAGGTTCGATTGGCTTTTGCCAACTTGTGTTACTTATGGCGTAGGTGAGATATCCGTTTACTAACCAAAGGACAGGTGTACTGCGCATCAGTCCTCAACGTTTTACTATCTGGGTGTAAAACGGCCGGAGAGTGTAGAGGATATTCGTAGGTAACTGGTATTCGTTAATAGGTGTCTTCGAAGCATTGATCGTATATCTTGGGACAACCGAGTAAGCAATGCTGTTGTTAGGATAAGGTTATTATGTCAGTCATTTACAACCTGGAACTTCGTACGTACGTACATCAGTTCAAGTTGCCATACCACATTAGCACAGAGACACAATTGTCGATTCAAATCCCATACTAGTAGATGTAGTAGAAGTATTAGCGGTAATGGAGAAGATTATGGATTGAAGATATTTTCCAACAAGTATATCCCACTGAAACGAATTTCAACGAGAAAAAGGTGACGAGGAATTCAAATTACAGTCTGAGCAAACACAACGAATAGATGCACCTGCACCATTGCGGACGATTTCGAGCTATGTAATTCAAGATCTCTAGCCATCGGTTACTACCATCTCGCGGGCCTTAATAAGGTAATCGACACCTACCTACACGACTCAGTCCGTCAGTGACTTCATCTCTTGATCTTCTTTGTCTACCTAGACCTCGTTTTCTAACAACTGTCTTGCCTACTCGGTTGTCCCAGGTTATACGAGCAGTGCTTCGAAGACACATATGGTCGAAAATCAGTAACCAATCAATATCCTCTACTCTTACTTGCAATGTTTCGCACCCATGGACAGTAAGAGTTGACGTAAGGATAGCAGATCATTTGTTGAAGTAGTGAATGCTTATCAGTTGAAGTGGTTAGATTAAGTGATACGAATGCCCAGCCACTGACTGCCTCGACGAGCAATGATGCCTGGTGTAGGGGTACGCTGGAAGAAAGCTAGGGGTGGCCAGACCAGAACATGGCACGAATCCATGAAGTCACTGGCAGCTGGACTGAGGCATGTTGGTAGATGTAGACTACCTGGTTGGGGTCCGCGAGACGATACTATCAACTTTATGCGCGTATGTAGTTCCGTTTCAAACCCCTTGAACACCAACTTTGTTGTTTACATTTCATTCTTTGACCATGGTTACATTTCTACTTCGATTTAATTCGCATTTGAACAGGTATTATTCGAAAGCACTAGTGTTTGTGAACCAACTGACATGTAAGCGTCTGTTTGTAAATGAAATTGACTCTAGCCTTTTGTATAAAGTAAATATTCCTCTTTTAATCTCATTATCTGAGGACAAGTTTTAAATCTAGCCAAAATTGAAAATACTTGTTTCAATTTATAAATGTGTTTTTAGTTTATGATTATCTTATTTAACCATGATTTCATATCTAGAAGCGAATACTACGTGCACATTTTAGTGCTGTTACTGACCAAGAACTACATGGTGCTATGAAAAATCTTAGAGAACCTAATAAACACGAAGCATTGTCAGTAGATGCTAGACAAGAACTTGATCTTCGAATCGGTTGCGCGTTCACTCGATTTCAAACAAAATTTTTTCAAGTGAGTTTTCAGAATTTTAGCTATATTTCTACTTAACTGGAAAAAAATAATTTACAAAATTTGAGTTATGGTTATGTTTATATTCTCTTGCTGATAAAACTTGTTTTTAGGTTAGTTAGGTTCCCTTCTAAATACTCATACTTGTTTATAATCATTTTTTTGATTATCCTGTTTTTACTCCGAATACTTTCATCGTACATATTTTAGCTGCTTTACGAGCCTAAGTATTATGATTGACATTTATTTACTCAAAATTGTAGATAACATTATTGCATCCATGAAACTGGGTACATAATTCTTTAAGAATGCTTAATGATGGTGAATTTATTGACTTCATAGATATCACCAATCAATGTAACTTTTTTATTGTCAATCTTCTCGGCAATGCAATCTCAGAATATTACTATTTATACCAAAAGTGATTCTTTTTTTTATGGAAGATATTTTTAAATTGTTATCATCAAGTTTGAGTCACTAAGGTGTTAAATTTAGTGGTAATTGATAGATGATGCACAATCATACTCCTAAGTCCTTACTACCTTTATCGGGTACTCTTTCAAGCTAAGAAGTATGTGCTACATTTTGTAGCTTATCCTTTCTAACTCTATGTAGGAAGGATATGCCTCTATGGAAAACAGCTTGGTGTAACTACACTTTGACACAGTGTGTAATATGTCTCCTCTATCAGACCATTTTACTGCTTTTGATTTTAGCGTTTTCTAAATGATTTGTTTAGCGTAACGGAACCTTAAGTAGTAATATTTATGGCCTATGTAGTTCAACTGGATCCTCATAATAGCCAATTTTAACACAACCATTAGAATAGCATTTATAGTCTGTAGTTTTACTTTCACCTAAATGCCTTGGTATGACTGAAGACGGCTTGAAATCCCTTCTTCTCTTGATTCTTACATGTGACTACACGCTTCTAGCCAGCACCACGAATTTTCCACTCAATACCCCGCAGAGACGTCTTTGTTTACAAAAGTGAGAGGATGTAAAACGAACGTTTGGCGCTTTGACCAGTTTGGTGGTTAAAGTTCAGAGGCCGAACTAATCGTTCGAATTCTCACCAATAGTCTTTTATGTGCTGTTAGATTACAGTTCCATGAAAGCGAAAAAGATAAATGTACAACGATGTCTTTTCATAGTCCCCACCTATATGCCAACATATTATAACCCGGGTGCAATCAACGGTAGATTATATCATCGGTCAAACGATCTTCTCAAGAAAGCGCACTCGGAAGATATTGGATTGCTTGCCGAAGATTTAAAATACAAACTGGGCATTTAAGCACTGTAGGTAGTCTCTTGGATGGTTAGAGGGGGACTTGTTCGTTACAGTTCAGATAACGGTGATCGTAACCTGTAGCTATGCGCAGAGTTCAACCTATTTTGGCTCGTACCAATTTTCTGCATAGTCATCACAGATGCGCCAACTAGCACTCTTTCTTCGCACCTCAAACCCAGACCCAAATTGTTAATGTCGCAATCACTTACTATTGACGTGGTTGTGTACAAAGTTACCGCTCCTTCTAGAACACTTATCTAAATTCTGATCATGTCCTCATATGCGCCAATCCTATCATTCGTTCCAGCGGCCGACAAATTCATCTTGCCAAACGGATTGCTGCAATCGAATCGGCTGCAGCTTCTGTTGCAACTAAATATCAAACCGAGCTAAATTCACTAGTAGCTATTATCCTGCCACAAAGTATGGATAAATACTGGCGGCGTTTGCATCACGTAATGGGAACAGCGATTAAAGACGCTTGCGGATTCGCTGAGCATCTCACTTATAAGCACCGAGTTTCTACAGGTACCTTCGTTTGGTTCTTACTAATAATTTTTTGGATGAAACTGCTTTCTTTATTCGTTTGATATCTGCATAAATCCTCTTTAAATAAACATTTCATACTATTTAAGGGAAAATATGGTGATCTAAATAGTAATCTTGTGTCATTTGGACCTTGTCAAACACCTACACTTGGATTTTGCGTAAAACGACATGATCAAATCCAGTCATTCAAACCAGAAACATTTTGGCGGATAAAGGTAACTAAAAACTTTTTTCTGTAGTTTCTAGTCATGAATGTTTAACTAATCTTGATAATATAGAGCAGAAAATCTTAAGTTTTGTTATATGTTTTCGTTAAAACTAATTCCATTTCGAAACTCGAATTTTCTTACTTTAGATCGGAAATCTCCAGTCGTGTAGCATACGCACTTTGTTCAGTTAATAAACAGTAGTGTTGTATCATATTAATCTGTGATCTAAACATTTGTTTTTATATTCACGTCAAATATTGATGTCAGCTTTTTAAGATCGATGATTACTCTGTTGTTAACTCAACTTATAATTCCCTTTGCTTCTGCTTAGCTTACTTATGTGTACGTTTTAATTGATTACGTAACTACTTAAACTATTAACGTAGTATTGGTCTTATTACTTTTAAATTAGAACAATTGTATTTCGTTCGTTTGCATGTACATCTTCATACTTCAATGGGCGCTGAATGTTTACAATAGTTTTGTCATTATAATTCTAGGATCCAAACTGAGGTTTGGACTGAGAAATAACTGTACAGGTAGTTTAGATACGCGTCTTGCCCAACTGAAATCAAAACTAGTGATTTGGGTATATAACGGTTCTAATATTTATCAAAAATATAAATATACATCATTACCTAAACAAATATTACCACTTAGTTATTCCCTGAACAATTGTTCGATTAATCAAATCAACAGCACAAATAAATGTTATTCTACCCCTCCTGGATAGATCAGATTCGTTCGACAAATAATATTTGGTTGCTTTAGAACACAGAGTCTTTCCTATTCTGGAAGAGTGCTTCAATTCACAATCAAAATGCACAATTCCAGTCTAAGCAAGCAACACAATCAAAAGAGGAACAAATCAATATGGCTGTCTCCATGAATAAGTATCAGCTTAAACAACATTAACGCAGTTCAGAAATAAACATGGAAACTCAGTAAAGGCAGAAAAATAAAAACTATATTAAAATACAAATATTATCATCTGAAAATGGAATCGAACAGATTAACAAAATGTACAACTGAAGGAATCAATAAGGGCAAATTACAAATGTATACATGGAGGGATTTTCGCAAGTAAAGTCTTCAAAAATGGATGTTACATCATTATAACTATGAAAATTCATGCTGTTAATTAACATTGTCAATATTGACACTAGATGAGGCTCATAAGTTGTTTTGTATGAATGTTCGTTTGGCTTTACTCTATGTTGGCTATAGATATCAAATTTCTGTTTTGATTAAATAATTCTATCTTTTATCATTATTAGTACATGTGTCTTTATATATATATATATATATATATATAGTTTCGTTGTTATCTCTTGTATTGATAAACTCCGTCGATTGGTTTGATTTTTTTCTTATGTTAGTCAGTTAAACACAATGTAGAAACTGGCACTTATATACATACATTGACTCACGTTTGCTACACACCATTAGCACAGCACGATAGAGTTGTCAGGAAAAAGATTCTCGAATACTAGGTGAAGTAACAGGTACAATGGAGAAAAAAAGTTAAACTAGCGAAATACTCAAAAAAAAACTTATAAGGAATTTGAAACTCACTTGCGTTCTAAAAGAAGATTGAGTAATGAATTCACCTGCACTATCGCGTATACTAGATATACATATAAATATTACTATAAATTAACATAAATCGTGTGTTGACTTAAATCGTGTGTTGACTATCTCTAATTGAAAATAATATTATCCGATTATGTGTATTGTACTAAATAAAGTATCTTATGGCTTTTTTCTATCAAATAAGGTTATTATTATTATTATTGTTGTTGCTGTTATTTTAAACGTTCAATAAATTTTTGTTATTGACAAATAACAAATAACAGTGAATTAATCCTGTTTCTTTTTTCGTTTTTTGTTCTCATAGGTCTCTGGTGTAGATGATACAGGAGGTGTATTAGAAATGTCTTGGAATCGTGATCGTATCTTTGATAAAGAAGCTGCTTCAGTATTTTTAAGTCGTGTCAAGTCTTCTAAAACAGCAGAGTAAGTTAATGAATTGAAGACTTTTTGTAGATATAAGAAAATTGTTTTATAATAATTACTTACGTCTATTACCCCCAATGTAGCATAGGCCACCAACCAGTTTTCTCCAACCAATTCTGTCTTGGTCTTCCCTTTCCTGTTCTACTGAAAGACGACATTCTAACTCCCAGGGCAGAGTTAAAATAGTTTGAATTATGTTTTCCGGTTGGCGGTTTTTTAGAGAGTTAGTATATTTTGTGGGATGGGGTCTGCCAATCCCATGCTCAACCCTCCTACTTTATCCGGGCTTTGGACCGGCAGTAGCCCCAGAGTGGCTTCAGGCAGAGTTTGTTTTATCATAAGAATCATCATAATAATGTATTAATATTAATATTAATAATTCTTTAGGTAATTTTGGTTATTGTTTTTCTCCTTGTCTTCATTATCACAAATAAAACAAAATTTTAAGTATTTAAACTTATTAAACCTATTAATTAAATAATGAAATTCAGTTGTAGTTTCTATTGCACATTATTACTAGACTTATAACAATTTTCATATATGTATAATTCTTTTAAACTGTTTCATTTTATCTCAAAACTCCCTAAATTCATGCATCATTAATAGTGCTTCTGTATATTTGTTGCAAATTAGTAAACATGTAAATCATTGACGTGAATTTTTATTAATCCTGTTTTAATTGTCATTCACAAACTGAATGACCAGATATGAAAATGTCTAAACCACTAGAAACAAGTAAAATATGCCAAATCGCGAATCGATTTTTTTGTTTTATGATGACTTTTTGTAATTTTATAGTTGAAACATAATCGCCAACTGATAATAGAGAGAGAGAGAGAGAGAGTATTCAATATTTTTCTCTGTTTGTGACACTTTAGTTTTATTGCGGTTGCTTTTTCTATAATTGAACTTCATAAACAGTAGATTTACTGTACATGAATATTTCTATATATTGTCACTTTCAAGTTTTATGTATGTATATTTGAATGCTAAAGTTTTCTTCCTAAAAAGCGATGGGATTATTAGTTTTTATGCAGTGGAAATTATTGAAATTTTAATGTCTAAACATCATCTATGGTTTTCATGTATCATATTTTTAAAATTTGCTTTACTGATTAAAAAAATTGTGTCTATGAATAATTTTTATATGAATTGGAAACATTTTGTTTTAGAACCTAATGGGGGTGGTATTTGTTTTTTTTTTTAAAAAAATTAAATTAATGGGCGTAGAAATAAGTTTTATTCTAGGCAGAAGAGTATGCACCTTCTATTTGTTCTAACGCCTGTTGTACTCAAATAATCCATATTTAAACGGTTATTCATGATAAATATACATTTACTATACTACCGGTTTAAGATTTATAAACTAAATTCTATTTTCAGAGTTGTCCAAGTATCTGTTAAACAGAAAATTAAACCACGTCCACAAGGCTTGAATACAGTAGAAATGTTACGAGTTGCCAGTGCTGGTTTAGGTATTGGACCACATAGTGCTATGGCCATTGCTGAACGATTGTATACATCTGGCTACATAAACTATCCACGTACTGAGACGACAGCTTATCCAAACACATTTGATTTACGTGGATTGTTACAACAGCAAGTATGTTACGGTAAACATTTGATTAGTATTCTTAACTTCAGTAACCTCTTGAGATCATAGTATTGAAAATGGTATTTCTAGATTTTGAAGGATTGGAATTGTGCATAAATTGAAATTTGATGTGAATCTCAGCATGATTTTTGAGCAGTAGTTTCAGTGATAGTCTTTTACTTTTGTTTCCTTAATCAACTACCCTAATGTTATAGTTTTAAAACTCACTTTACACTAGTTATTTTTTACTGTCATCTCAATCCAACTCAAATTGATTGTAGTTGTATAGTTAGAGTAGTTAGTTTTTTAAAGTATGCTTCATCGTCGAAAACTTGTTACATAAGATAATATGTAATGATTATAATTATTGTACACTTTAAGCGCAGTATTTCAACCTAATTTACTGGATGAAAACTTTTAAAATCCACATTCAATTATCATTTATTCGAATATGTTGTCAATGATAGTATCGTAATGATGAGTCATTATTCTCACTACAATCGGATAATCCATTTAAGTAGTGACAAAAATTAACATAAATAAATCGTTTAAATCACGAAGTGAACTGTGGTTGCACAAACATTAAGGATCAGATTACACCGGTACGCAGTCGTAATTTCACATTTCTTAGTCACATACGTAAAAGAGAAATAGTTATCCATTCGTCTTCTATTTCATGTGTTTTTTTCAGATAAAATCGGGTTTCTACTTTAGTTATTTTCATGCTAAACTATCTGAAAATCTGTCGTCCTAAGAAATATATAAGTTTAATTATCAATATTGGAGTTTATTTTGCATAATATTTTATACCTATAAAGTTGTAAATTTCATTTCACCATATTTTAATAATTTCAGGTAAATAGTTCAGGTTGGGGAGATATAGCCCGTGAAATTCTACACAATGGACTGACTCCACCTCGTACTGGTCATGATGCAGGTGATCATCCTCCTATCGCTCCAATGCGTTTTGCTTCTTCTCAGGAATTGGGACATGAAGCCTACCGATTGTATGAATACATTGCACAACATTTTATTGCTACTGTGAGTAATTTTATCTACAAATTTTTAAAAAATAGTTCTCATCCTACTCTGTATGAATGTTTATAGAAATACTATAAAGACTCTTGGAACTTTTTTAAGACGAAAGTAGCATTTTTAAATTCCTAATTGATGTGAGTTAGTGGTGAAAAATCTCTTGAAACTAGGCTATCCAGTCAGTTATTGACAAGTTAACAGGATTAAATTTTTTTTTAACCGGTACATATACTGTACGGTACTTTTTTCATTGATTCTCTGAATGCTCTTTGCTAAACAACACATATAACTTTCATGCAGTCTTCATTGTGTTTTACTTGAGAAACTTAAATTATTTTTAATGATGATATTCACTTTATTTTTTTTCAAAATATTATTTATCTTCAAGATTATGCCTGATTGTTGTTATGAACAAACACAAGTGACTGTATCTATTGGTGATGGGGAATTGTTTACTATCAGTGGACTACGTGTAGTTGAACCTGGTTTCACACGAATATTAACTTGGCAAGCAGTAGAAGATAAAGCATTGCCTAAATCACTACTCAAACAAGGTTATCAATTCAATTTACTTGAAGAACCAAGTTTAATTGAAGGACAAACTGGTCCACCGGATTATTTAACTGAAGCTGAATTAATTACCGCTATGGAACGTCATGGTATTGGGACTGATGCCTCGATTCCAACACATATTGAAAATATTGTTCAAAGAGGTTATGTTCAAGTAAATTCTTTATCATAATGATGATATTATATTTTTTAATTTCTTGTTTTCATATTCATGTTATTATGAAAATAATGAAACTCAGTAAATGGTAATGTATTTTATGATAGTAGCTGAACTATGTGTTTATTTGTAGATAAAATTATTCATCAAAATGAGTATTTATAACTTGTGATTATAATTGATACAGACAATTCAGAATTTAGGATACATGTGTACGATGCCAAGTTACCATGTCCTTTTATCAATACAATCTGAGCGGAAATGAATAAGGTGAAAATCAGGGCATAAGATTTAGAGAAAATTTTCGAATCACATTACTCATCTTCTCCGACATGAGACTACTATACAATCAGTGTGGGAGTTGGAAAAAATATATTTCTGTCCAATATTTGTCACATCAACTTATAAATTGCAACTATAATCATCGTGATACATTAATTGATATTGTTCACAATGTTACTGAGGTTAGACCTTAAATTCCTTATAGATATCAAGTAAATATATAGTTAAACACATTGAAATTAACATCAGGCTCTTATGTAAGATACACATTTTTGAAACCATGAATCGATCAATGTTAGACCACCATTAGAAACCTGGAAGCACTGAACGGCCGTTTCGTCCTGGTATGGGACTTCTCAGCAGTGCGCATCCACGTACACCATTCAGTTCGTCTATAAATTAACACTTATCTGGATCTGTACAGATAGTTTTCATATGGATTCGTACTAATAAATGTTCACATAAACATTTGCTTCATGATTCACATAACAATAAACACATTTCATGTATAATGATTTGTTCAAAATAAAAATGGAAATAAAATCAGGGTATAAGTCTCTAATAAGTTAATTCTATTTGCATTAACTTAATGTTCAATATTTCATCTAATGAAATACAACCATTTGGTAGCTAAATCTTTTATATTGGTCATCTTTTAAATTAAAATTTTCCAGTCTTGTGTTTTATTTTGATTTAAAAATAATGAAAAAAATTATTATGTTCAAATTTCTAATATAATGTCAAAAACTCTTTTGATTGAAGAATTTTTGAATTGTCATTGAACAATAGAAACTGTAAATTTAAGTTATCGTTTTTCTCTAAATTTTCAACTAGCAATAACCGCGCCTCAGATAAACTTCATTGGCTACGGTACCGCCATTACGCAAAGATAAATTTAAGTTATCTTTTTTTTCGCTTATTCATAATTAAGAATTCATTCACCTCAAAACAACTTTTCAATGTTAAAAACTGTCTGATTTTAACAGAAAACTTTATGCTCGCATGAAAAAAGGTGCTTTTCTTCAAGTTTATTGATTCGCTTTCTCAATGAATATTCACTGCATAAAACACTGAATCGTGTCTACTATCAAAACTATTGTTTTTCTTGTTTATTATAAGATCTCCATGTTGTCTAATATCTTAGTTGGTTTTTTTTGTATTCTTCTAAAACAACACAGCTTCTTTCTGGTCGTAAACTACAACCTACACCATTAGGCATAGTACTTGTACATGGTTATCAAACAATCGATGCAGAACTAGTTCTACCACATATGCGTAGAGCTGTAGAAGAACAATTAAATCATATTGCTCGTGGTCATGCAAAATATGATTTAGTGTTAAAATTTGTTTTAGCTATATTTGCTGCTAAATATCGTTATTTTGTTGAACATATTCATGGTATGGATCAATTGTTTGAAGTTTCATTTACTACATTAGCTAGTTCAGGTAAACCTTTATCTAGGTAAGTAAAAAGAAAAGTTGTTTCTTTTTGTTTTTGCAAGATGTACTTTTTGTATATTCTGCCAAATATCTATGCCATTGTTCGTTAATATTTATTAAATAACTATGTACAGTTAGAGAATGAAAGACAATACTCTGAAACTTTATAATGGTAGTTGTCACTCACATAGCTACTCTCAGCTGAAACAAGAAACATCAATATCAAAGTCGTTTTAATCAATAATGATCGTAATTATGATTCCAGAGTCCAAAAAATTTAAGATATTGTATGTGAATACCACTTAGATTATCACTGAATACAATATCATAGTTATTCAATAAACTACATTTTTTGTTAATTAAATAACTGAATCTAGTCATTTGTAGTTGATGTTATAGAATTCGGAAGGATTTGTTAAATTGATACGGATACAGAAGGCTCGATTGACGTTTGCCAACTTGCGTTATCTGTGTCGCAGGAGAGATATATGTTTGCTAACCAAACGTTGAGTCTACTGTGCAGCAGTTCGCTCGGTCCTACTATATAGATGCGAAACATGGCCGGTGAGAGTAGAGGACATTCATCGGTTATTAGTATTCGATTATAGATGTCTTCGAAGGATTGCTCGTATATTCTGGGACAGCCGAGTAAGCAATGTTATAGTTAGGAAACGACTACCAGGTAGGCGTGGTAGATCAATTGAAACTTCATCAGTTGAGGTGGTTGGGACATGTGTTACGTATGCCAAACCACCGACTGCCTCGACGAGTTATGTTTTGTGGTGTAGGAGTAGGTTGGAAGAAAGTTAGGGGCGGCCAAACCAAACCATGCCACTGACAAGTGGACTGAGTCATGCTGGCAGATGTATGCTACCTGATTCCTGTCCGCGACACGTAAGTCACTGATGGTTAGAGACCTTGAACGACATCGCTCAAAATCGTTTGCAATGGTGCAGGTGCATCCACTCCTTGTGTTGTCTCAAATTCTTACCTTCTGAATTCCTCATCATATCTATTTTTCTCTTTTTCTGAAGTTGTGTCAGTGAATTATACTTCTTGAATCATATCTTCGAACCCTAATCTCTCCGATTACCGCTGATACTTCTACTATTATATCATTTAATTATGGACTACAAAATTGACAGCCAGAAAAATCGACTACGGTTCACTAAATAAAGTGATGTGTATTAATTATGTATAATTTTGTTTGAGCCTAGTCAACAATAGATGTAAATATCAAAAGGTATGGCTCATTAACTTTCATACTTGACTTTCAGTCCTAGTTTGCTTGTCAAAGTTGAGCCGACCAAACGGTATTGTTATCCGTGACATAATTGATAGATCTTGCACACACTAGTATACTAAGGAGTAGGTATTGGTGATTGTGGGAAATTAAACAAAATATGAATATTATGAGTTTTCTTCTTAATAAAGTTAATGCCTACCAAAAGGAATATAAATAAATCTTAGTGTATGGTATTATTTAGTATAAATGATGAAGTTCAGACACTAAACAAACTTCTAATTCCTTTGTGTACACAATGTAGGCTTTGTCTCTGAAAGAAACTTTTCGACGTGTACATTTCCATGAAATACGAAGAATATTAACTACTTTAATCGCCACTCACCTTCTAAAGTGAAAAATCGAAAATTTTTAATTACATCTCAATTGAAATATTCATCTAATCAGTGTTAAATACTTGAAATATGTAAGAATCCATCAGGAATTTCATGAGTTTAAAATCCTTATTTTCAGTGACAATAATTCCTTTGACCTCATTTACTGCTCGTTCAGTGGATCAGTGCAACTTCATCTTATCAGCAATTAACTAAACCCGTACACCGGTGTGAGTGTGAATTAACAGATTGAGAATTGAAATTCAGAAGTTTCTCTTACTTCAAATAATTCAGATATTGTGGTTATTTCATTGGTAAATTATTGAAAAACGTAAATAACTTTTTTCTTCGCTTTTACATACTTTAGATGTGGTAAATGTCATAGATATTTGAAGTTCATTGACTCGCGACCACAACGTCTTCATTGTTCAATTTGTAACGAAACGTATGCATTACCACAGAATGGTACAATCCGACCGTATAAAACTGAAAAGTGTCCTTTAGATAAATTTGAATTATTATCTTATACTCAATTTGGTAAAGGAAGAGTAAGTTTTTCCTTGATTGATTACTCTATGAAATTGTAATTCTAGTCATTTTATGATAAGTTAAACTACGTAGACGTGGTGATCGGTATTAATTATCATGATGAATTAGCCAAGCTATACTAGCTGAAATATTCGTCTCTTTTGGTCCTATAACTCTATACAGGTCGGTTTGAGCAGCAATATGTTCAGTAACACTGTCTTTCAACAGAGGAAGTAGGAGGTTAGAAAGAGTCACCCATATAAATACCATAATTCAACTTGCCTCAGGGATTTCTGTCGCCAGTAGTATGCTTGGAATATATTGTACAAAAATTACTCAAGAATTCAACATGCGACAACTCTCAAACAGTTATCCTCTAAGTTTTGTGGTAGCGCTACTCGTTAGCCAAGACCCTTTCTTACCAAAATTTTTTTCAAACTTCTTGGTAAAAATTATACTCTCACGGCGTAGGCAACCTAAAAATAACCTCGCTGACGTCTCTAGTCTTTGTTCTAAAATATGCATCAATGAATATCTCAGGCCTTATGATCCTTTAATTTTGATTAGTTTAAAAATAGACATCGTTGCAGTTGAACACTGCATACAAATATAGTTTAATTTGTCAAAAACTAATCGTTTGTATCGTACTTGTTCTTGGAGTATCAACTGACACCATAAACTTTGGGTCTTATGATGAATTGGCTACTACCATGAAATTAGTTAGCCATCTTTTTTTAGCGTTAATTTTATGTTATATTTCAAAATTTGTCGATGGTATATGCTCCAATATAATATGGAGATTCATTCCTCTACTGTTAGAATTTTTAGGGATTAGCAAATTCATGTTAGTTTACAATAAGCATCTACTGTAATTGGAAAATTCCTATACATGTTCATTAATTACATTGTTTACATCTTGTATATGTACTTATGCCAGTACTTCTATGATTATTCATGACATCAGTACAAACTTCCGATAGACGTGAGCCATTCGATTTTTCTCACAACTTTTTCTGCTAACCTTCATCTTAACCGGTTGTTGCCGACCCTTGTGTCCACATTGTCATCCTTTTAGGCCTTGTATAGTTGCTCATACTATATCTGACTGGCTAATATTTTGGAACCATATTGATATGCTTATTGGTTTATGACTGACCAGAGTGCCAACATTTTGAAAATTCTGTTATATTTTTGGTATTCTCTTTATTGGAGATTTTGACTTTTTTACAATTGAAAAGTTGTAGCCATAATTTTCTACGTGCATTGATATAAGTGAAGATTCATCATGGCATTTGACATATGGTTGGTGTTTGTGCAGACATCAATGAAGGGGGCAGCCATTTTGTTTGATATAGTGTTGCTCACAGTTAAAACCTTGTATTTTGTAAGTGTTTGGCTTCTGTTCTTTTGTCGTCTCACACTACGCTTATCTCAGATAATATCAACAATCTTGTTACCTTATCTCGTATACATCCTTTATATATGTATGACATAAACATAAGTGATTTTCTAGAAACGGAGACCCGCTTGTCTTATAGCTCAACTGCGTGTATTTATACATAAATTAAACATTCTTATTATCAAAACTGTTATATATATTATTCTTATAACTGTTTATACGAACGATTCATCTTACACTGTACACCTTTGTTAATGCTGGCATCAAAGCGAATCTTATTATTATTTTGTTATTTGTTTAAATTAGTACTACTTACTTACTTATTACGCCTGTTACCCCCAACCGATCATTATTCTCCAACTTGCTCTGTCCTGGGCTTCTCTTTCCAGTTCTGTCCAATTTTCGTTCATTCTTCTCATTTCTTTCTCTGTTTCTCGGAGTAATGTGTTCATTGGCCTTCCTCTTTTCCTTTTGCCTTGAGGGTTCCATGTGAGGGCTTGTTTTTTGATGCATTTGGGTGCATTCCGCAATTTGTGTCCTATCCACTTCCATCGCTTCTTCCTGATTTCCTCCTCCACTGGAATTTGGTTTGTTCTCTCCCACAGTACGTTGTTGCTGATAGTGTCTGGCCAACAAATCCGAAGTATTTTGCATAGACAACTATTCATAAATGTAAATTAGTATGCATTGAAAACAATTTATAATAATATCTATTCCATACAAAATAATGGCATTTAATTCATTTGCTTTGTTTTGTTTTTATTTTTCTTTGCATTGCATAGAATATGGTTTTTTGTCCATATTGTTTCTCGCATCCACCATTTGAATCAATGCCAAAATTATCCGGTTGTAATCGATGCCCTCATCCAACATGTCCTCAATCAATGGAATCATTAGGTGTTGATGCATGTCCTGATTGTCCATATGGGATACTTGTCTTAGATGATTCGAATGCACCAAAATATCGTTTGAATTGTAATAGGTTAGTTTATGAATATTAAAACCTTTTTTTTTCTAGAAAGAAAAAAGAATCGTAGTTTCACTTAAATTGCACAGAATTCATTCTTATGAATTTTAGTGTTTATCTCTGTGATGACTTTGTTATTGTGTAGTTTCGATTCTTTCGTTTATCCAAACAGCTTTTTAAATCATTGATTGTTTTATAAAACGTTTGGTAGTTCACAAATTGTGGGCGTTTTTTTTACTGTGAGTATCAATATGTACAAATATCGATTTCGCGTATTTGATCGCAAAACTATGTCATTTATATGAATTGGGTTGTCTCTGGTTTCGATAAATCACTTAATCTATCGACTCATTTTTACTGCTCGCAACATTTTCGAACTCTGTCATGTCTGACTGTTTCGCAATTGATTGAGCCAGTTTGATGAAGAAATATGGTTTTATTTTGGTAGATTTTGAATACATGTTAATCAATCAACTAATATCGTTAATGAATTGTTAACGACAGAATATTTTGTTGTAGTTCGTGTTGTTAATTATAGTCTATTCGTAAAGCGAAAAAAGACAGTAAATAATCTTAATAAGTAGGAAATAGCATTCTAATGTCTCATTCTGTTACGAGTGTAGCTTGGTATCCATCAACTTCTTCGTTAGTTCAGCTGCTAGTTAGGTAATAATTCAAGTCTCGAAGGATCACCGTCGTCAATTGTTACGCATGAACGTAAACATATCATTTTGATATGCTTGAATTATTACAAGTTTACCTTAGTCGGAAAATGAGAGCGAGGATCCGGCGACAGGACATCCTACTCTAATCCGATTTTCCCAACTCCCATTGAGTGAAAGAAGAGTTGATATGAAGTAGAACCTGTATTCTACGAACATCCAGAAAGTACGAGGTCCATGTTCCAGAAGGCAAGGATTCCGAACTGAGGATCTGGGTCCTAAAACGTTACAGATAATGCGTATTTATAAATTTAGGTCGAACAGGAAACAGAATCGAAGTCTGACATTGACAGTTAAGGCGACCAATAGAAAAAATCATTTGAAGTGACACTCATAGTCAGGACGACTAATAAAAAACAACATCGGAGTACTTGACGTGGATATCTAGGACGGCCATAAAATTGACCAATAATTCCCTTAGGATATTAGATGAATATCCTTACACATTGACAATTTTTGAAATCATTCAGCCAAAATCCTGGACATAATTTTCATGCTTATCAGTTTTTGTCAACAACCGAGAAATAAACCAATGTTTCCCAATGAAAGTCAACTTTTTGCTTCTTAAATCTACAGTTATGGGAAATAATGTACTCCACATATTTTAATTGGTATTAGTTTTGGTGCATGATCAAAGATGATACGCTTACGGGCTGTTGACGCAAGTTTACAGACTAATTTCCAAAATTTTTGATGACCACATTTCTTTTTATTTATTTTTCATTAGAGTTTTTTTTATCATTCCAACTTATTACAATCTTGACTGTTTATTGTTTTCTTTTAGGTGTCCAACATTTTTGGCTGTTTCTGATGCTGTGAGAAGTATCTCTGTCAAAAATGTTAGTTGTTCAATATGTACAGCTATGCATCTCAATTTGAAATTTGATCCGGTATGTACAAACTGTATTTGAATGCAATTTTACTTATTTATACGCATCATTCTACGATGAATTCAACTCTGTCTGTATCTGTATATTGGTTCATCAATGCTGTTTGACTGATGGACTCCTTTATCTACATCAGTTTCCTGAAAAATGTAATGCATTTTTTAAAGCGGCTCCAACTAGAAAGAAATTACATAGGGACTATATGATCTTAAGTAAAATTAGTGCAATGTATATTTATCATACAACTATAATTGAATTTTGTTATTGTAATTCAATGAAAAAAATAAGTCCTCACTATTCAAATTACTCGTATGGATTTAAAGTTCAGCTTAATAGTCATAAGAATAAATTTATAATAATCTATTATTGGCCCATAGAGCTGAGAATATTAACGTTACTTCTTTTTGGTGAACAAATTTAGGCCTACATCGAATTTGTGACAATGGCATTTTATTATATTCAGGCTATAATGTCTGCAAGCTTACTTACTACAAAAACATTCTTAATAAGACCTTTTTCATATGCTTACTGTCCGTTTTTTGTAGAATTATTGTAGTTATAAACTTTTAGTTTACTGTCATTTATTAAACCCTACAATTTATGATTAGATTGTAGTTTGTGTATATCATACTAATCAATAAATATCAACTAGACGAACGTTCGCTACAGTGATTAATAGCAATTTTATTGAAATTCAAACTAATATATTCGTTCTAACTGCTATAGTGCCATCAACTGGCATCCATTACCTTTCTTTGACTAATTATAAAAATGCCATAATTACTGTTACAATATGAATGATAGTGTAGTTTACATTTTAGTCAACTTAACATTGAACTAGATTGAATAAGACATGTTTTTTGTATGATAAATTATGTCACTACATACATATATTAATATTAGGTTTGATCGTGAATAAATAGTTGTATAGCTATTAAAAAAATCATTGTGTACTAAACAAAAATATTTAATCTTACACCAAATAGTTATTTTTCATCATTTTCTGGTTTTGTATTCAGGGTAAAATTCCTAATTCAAGTGACGATACCTCTGAAAAGATGAACACAACATTCTCTGGATGTGCATTCTGTACAGAATCATTATGTTCATTGTTTACTATTGTAAGAAAAAAGGAGACATCAAACAATCCTATTGTCAATTTACGTGGTCGTTCTGGAACTTCTCAACGAGGAGGAGGAGGTGGTCGACGAGGTCGAAGATTTCGATAAAAGTTATACACTCTAATGAATGCAATTCGTGTACAGTAATAATTGTGATTTTCATATATATATAATTCAGCAAATTTTTATAAAATAGTCTAAGTAACATCAGATGGACGACATCTTCCCACAGTAGATAAGTCGGTGTGTATGCATCTAGCAGTTTATTTAAATAAGTAACTAATGTTGAGCGCTGGAGTTTTAATTGTAGAACGATCCCACTTTGGACTCAAAACACCCAGGTAATAGCTCCATACATATAAGCATAGCTTCGGGGGTTGGGACAAATAACGATCGTCCGTTGCAATTAGTTGTGGCCAGTGATATTTTCATTGCAAGTAAAACATTCAAGCACCCACAAATCACTTTCTTCTGTATGTGCAATATAAGAGCACTTAACGCTCCAACTCAAGCAGTCCCTTGAAACAGTGATGAAATGACAACACTTTTCAATCGATGATGAACTGCATGTATCGTTTCACTTTCTGACTATGACAATAAACTATTCTAATACTGCTTGAGTATAAATACACCACTATCGCTCAACCAATTTCTCTGTTCATTTGTCTCATTAACGTGTGTATTATCTATTTCAAAATAGAATGCTGCTTAATTTGAATAAATGAGCAATTTTTAGAAATATAAATGTATTTATTATTGAATGCACGAACGTAATGTTTTCGAAAAAATTAAAACAAATCAAATGAAAATATAAGGTCACTATGTTGATCAAATAAGAAGTGAAAAATATTTGTTACATAATCCATAGAAATAATGATGTAATAAAAGTTGTACAATTAAAAAAAAATAATATCACTGATCACTGGTGGTAGAGATGAATGAGTTTAAAGTATACAATATATTAAATCAAATATAAATGATAAAACAAACTGATTTCTTTGGAAAATATGATTATTAATGAAGTCATATTATTTATTTATTATTTATGAATGATGTTATTGGAAAAATTCTTGTAATTATTGGTGCCCATAGATGTTATTGTGTATTATTAGTTTCAAATAGTAGAAGGGAAAAATTTCGTTAAGTGAATCAATCAAATATGAAACAAAAATACCAACAACAAAAAAATATATATTCAATCATGATCAAATGAGAAAATTAAAAGCAGGAAATAGTTTTGTGTTATTCTGCATTAGCATTGTGATGATGATGAGGATGATAATGACGAATAAATTCCTGTAACAAAAAGAAAAAATTAAAAATATAGTGGTAATTGTGTTTAGGGTCAGCATAGAAAGACATCGTATTTGGTGGATCGAAATAGTGTTTTTTTAATTCCATTCAAGATCAAGATTTATCAATACACTGGATTTTAGCGAAAGAGATTAAAGTTCTTAAATTGAATAGCCATAAAATAATTAAAAGATTATTGGGATAAATTCAAGCATACGAACAGTTGTTTATGTACACATTGGCGGGTTTGAATGTACGCATAGCCATGGCTTCTATAAACCTAAGAATTCGTTCGTGACCATTTTTATACAACGTTATAAAAGCTGTCTCGATGTCCACTTTATGTACCGTTTCGATTACGTGCTTTCCTATCAGTGGTGAAAATGGTTTTCTGTTTCCTACGTTAATCGGGTCATTTGATGTTAGTTGATTTGGAAGCTATTTAGGGCACATGTTCCATAATCCTTTATTGCACTGTCAAATTACTCTTCCCTATCTATGTGTTGACAAACATGTAAACTGATAAATGCAATGGAATGTGACGCAATAGCTCGAGCGATTTATAGGCTTATATGGAATCATGAGCTTAGTCTTTTCAATTACAATCAGTTAAACAGCAACATATAGAAGGACTGCAAATTACGACAAAACTTGAATCCTGTCAGTCAGTCAACAACTACGTAGAACTTCGCACGTGTGCACATCAGTTCAAGTCGCCATATCACATTAGCACAGAAATCGAATTGTCGATTCAATTCCCATAGTAGTAAAGTGATCGAGGATATCATTCGAGCACGAGAGCCGCGAGGAATTAACTTAAAAAAGAGCAAAAACCGTTAATGAGATATTCAGAAGAATAGAACTTGAGAGAAGAAGAATGGATGCACCTGCGCCATTGCAAACGATGTTGACCCATGTCATTCAAGATCTCAAGCCATCTCGCGGACACCAACCAGGTAGTCTACACCTACCAACACGGCTCAGTCCGTCAGTGATTTCATGGTTTTGCACTGTTTTATTCTGGCCGCCCCTAGCTTTCTTCCAGTCCACCACTAAACCACAAGACATCGCTCGTCGAGGCAGTCGATGACTGGGCATTCGTAATACTTTTCCAAACCAGCTGAACTGATGAGCGTTCACTACTTCACTGATTGATCTGCCATCCTTTCTAAGAACAGCATTGCAGTAGACTCGTCCTTTGGTTAGCAATCGGATATGTCGCCTACACCATAAATGACGCAAGTTGGCAAAAACCAATCGAACCTTCTCTGTGCGTGCTGAGATTTGGTCAGTCACCAGGCCATCAGCACTGATAAGACTCTCAGGATAAGTGAAGTAGTCAATACGCTCAACCGCTTAAAGTGGTCAGAAGACTGTATTTTTTCAGTGTCCTCATCAAATAGAACCATATCATTCGCATATTCTAAGTCAACAAGCGAGTCTCATTGTTGATGATCAACTCCTGAAAAGTTAGATGATGTAAGCATCGACTCTAAAAGCATGGCAATAACAGATTTGACTAGGAATAGAGAAAGTGGACAGCCTTTACGGACACCACTAGAGGTAATCAACTCCGAAGCTTGTCAAATTCTTCCTACTGAAGATACATTTTCCCAAGCCTCGCTTGTGCTACAGTGGACAAAAACTAGAAATTTAAATATTGTCTATCCAGGTTGACTTCCTTTACACTGACCGTGTTATAGTTCCATCCTTCAATCGACTCAACAGCGTTTCTAAAAATGTCAATTGATAATTACTTTCTCCTTCATAGACCAGTAAAATACCATTCTGAAGACTATTGAATTTATCTGGTAACTACGGCACATTGAAATTTTCAACAGTTAATTAATACTTCACTCAGATATCTTCTATACAGAATTGCCTCATCAATGAGCTAAGTCAGCACATTTCCGATGTATGCAACTCAGTGTTACCATATGAATTCAGTACAGAAAACGTTTTGTTGTTTTTCCTTTGGCAGCCTATCCTATCATCAGCATAAACATAAATTCACATATTAAATTTGTTCACCATTCCTCTTAATTTCTTCCGATGTTTCTTTTGCAGTATGGAATGACAACGATGGTTTTTCCATTGACTTGATGTACACTTTAATTTAGTTTTTATTTTATTTTTAATAATCTTTAAAAAACTTGAGGATAAGTGTTGGCCTCAGAGTCAAATTTTAATTGCTGAGATAAATTAAAAATATAATTTTCATAAAATATATTTTCTATCATCGGTGCCTTATGTCTATCAATGTCTATTCGTTCAAATACTGACGAATATTCATATAAATTAAAGTAAGATTATACTGGGAAATACTAGTTGAAATTAATATAATCCATTAATGAAACATGAATAAATATTTTGATAGCTGTGAATATTATGACTGGAGATCAATTACGATTGCATGATTCAGGTAAAGTAAGCATAACTGGTTCTTGGTTGTAGATGTTCCCATCTGCTTACCTGCGTGTCATATTAAGCCTAAATGACTTTTATAGGTTGACATAATTTTCTAATTGGATACAAATTAGTTGCCTGTTAGATCTGTAAGATTACAATAAATAACAACAAATAATTAGCTTTTTGTGTTAATAAGTAGAGAGTATTGTTAAAACATACAAAAAGCATTTTCTCAAGTTGATGAAAAAGAACTCACATTCTTTTGATTCTGAATCATTTGTAATAGATACCCATTGTTCATTTTCTGATATGATTTGATTGATTTCATCACTGCGAGCTAAACAGAAATCATTCACCTAAAGTGTACATGAGTAAAAACGAGATCACTGCTTGTTCAGTATTTTGATATATATTAAGAGTATATATATACCGGTTTAATTACTCGATTGTTTATTGTAAACTATTAATGATGACATTATTTAATCAAAGAACATTTTAGAGAAATTTTAAAACTATGCACATCAAATAGCTGTGCACTTGCTAGTTAAACCTTAAAAAAAAAACATGTAACACAATATTTGGAGATATTTGCATATAGCTGAAGAAATACAGAGAGGAACTGGTAGAAGAGTGCTAAAGTAACGATGAGACAAATATTGTTCTTCATTTTGCATTTTATTTAATTGGTAATAAATCAAGTCTAATGAACCATATATACTGTTATAAAATACTTATAAATATTCAAGCTACAAAAATGTTTGGCTTTTCAAGAGTAATAAAACTATTATACTGTACATTATGACGGACCTATCGTCACGTTATATTGTATTTATTGATCGATAGAAAAGGTATTGTGATTCATGAATGTATACGAATTCAAGATCTTAATAGGATAATAGATTTTGATTTAACTAATTTGTTCGTTGTTTTTTTACACTAATTAACTTGCGGTGCGTGGGATCAACTGTACTAAATGTAAAAACAACTCTGACCGTATTCAAATATACGGAAACACTGTAATTTGAAATGTACATGACAGTGATATGCGAATCAATAAACCGAATGATTTCAAATTTTTGGATGCCGTATATATATATATATATATATATATATATATATATATATATATATATACGAGAAAACCGCTTAATGCGCAAAGTGTTTACGTATCATTGTTTAACATAAAGTTGAGTTAGCTCTTGCCATAACGTGAAAAGTAGTGTATTTTTAAGTACATATATAGGGCTTCTTTTATCTAAGGAACAAGGACAAAAATAACTAATTGCTACACTCTGCACCATTATAGTAAGAGAGATATTATAAATCAAACGACCAGATATTTAAAAGAAATCTAAAACACAGATAAATGAACGAAGAATATACTTTCCTATTGAAGTTTCATCCATTTATTCAGTTAAACAATCAAATTAATAATGCAGGAAATGGACAATTTTACAGTCGTGAAAGGATGAGAGTGATGTTGGAGAGAAAGCACGAGCTTATTAACTGCACCACAAAATTTTGGAGAAACACAAATAAGCGAACATAATTATGTTCAATTAAATTGTCATCAAGCTTTATTTCGATTTGCAGGACTATTTACAAACATATATGGAAATACTAAAGTAATCAAGGTAATTAATGAGTCAGTGATCGTAATTAAATAAATTGCATAACCATACAGGCGACTTATAACCAAATTGGTTTAAAAATCGCCAGACGAAGAAAATATGGAGCTTTGAATCAACAAACCTGGTGTATAGTGGCCAACAGTAGATGAAACCAAGTCATTTCAAGGGGTCTGCCACATACCTTTACCACTTTCCGACGTGATATGATCCCGTTTCTTGCATATAGCAGAAGCTGTAGAGATTAGAACCCTACTTTATGTGTTCTGGAGTACTTTGTGATACCTCTCTTACTCCTAGGTCAAATATGGCTTCAGAAACGATTATATCAGTTTTTTACATCCTTATCTGTTTGTTGCTTTTCACCTTTTTCTGCT